AAATCTTAGGATTCCTTGGTTTTTTAGGATTCTTAAAATTCCTGGGCACCTTTCAGTTAGTCGTGTATAAACTGGGCAACATTTTTGCTTAGCTCACAAAGTAAAAGCAGAAATTGACTCGTGTGTTCATGTTGCATCTCCTGTTGGTCTTTAGCCAGCTACTGGAATCACTTTAAAAGGCGGGTTGCCATGACCATAAATTTCGTCTGCGTGGCTTAGAAGGCATCTCACAGAGAAGCATGAACAATGAAATGGAAACCCTAGCGATACATGTGTGTGTGTAAGAAAGGACACCTTATGTTCAGCACAAAATGAAAGCAGCAAGACCTTCTAAATACCCTGCCTGAGGCAATTCATTACTTTAACAGGTTTGCTCTTGGAACGCCACTTTGAGGCTCATTTTCTTATCAGTTTGCAAATGTCATAATTATTGAATAGGCATTTAGCGAGTTGGAAGTGTGATGGAACCGAACCTCAAGTGCCACCTCATAAATTAGTGCCTATTGTGTGAAGCGATTTCAGAGCCATTCTTTCTCCTTGATGAACTTTGGGAGCTACGGCAAATGGTACTTTGCAGACAATAATGCATTTGCTGTGACAACAAATGTTTCCCCTTCTCAGTGTTGAAGAACACAAGAAGAGCCTCGCTGGATCCGACCAAAGGCCTATGTAGACCAGTGTCCTGCTGTCACAATGGCCAGTCAGATACCCATGGGAAGCTGCAAGCAGGGTAAGAGTGAGGTGTTGTTGTGTTTTTTTCAAGTTTGCATCTATTTGTGAGTGGAGTAGGAATTTTGTTTTGTAGTGAAGCTGATAGGTGATGCAATTAATAACAATACTTTTAAAAACTAGGAGAGACAAGAAATATGATTCAGTCGTCAGTCAGTGGGAGAAAACCGCAATGGGATAAAAGAATTCCAGTTCTGGAAAGTAAAAAAGCATACTCTGATTCAGCCCTTGTAATGGCTGCCTTTAGCCTGCCCATACAAGTCCATACAATGTAGATGCTTATAATGGAGAAGGGTCAAAGAAAAGCAGATATTGAGCATGAGATGTGTTCACTTTTTATTTCTCTGTTGTGTTGCCTGCGTTTTTAATAGCTGCATAGAAACAGATGTTTGACAGATATCGCCTTTCTTGGTATAAAGATGTTATGACAGGGACATTCTTCTAGGTAAGTCCTCACCGGTTGTGCAGTGTTTAATCCAACTCTGGAAAACATGGAGTTAAGTGCCATAGCCAGGAATAATTTGTGTTTGGGATCTTAAACTGAGTATGCCCACCTAGTCATCCATCTAGGTGGGTTGGAAAGGATTTGTGGATGAGGACACAATTGTTGGGTGCTGAAAATTGCATACCTGTGCCTGCACAATTTTCAAATGTGTTTGGATAATTACTTGAGTTTGGCGCAAGCTGTATTGCACACATGGCTTACAACAAGCCATGAAACTAGATGATTACTATTTCTAAAACTCCTTGAAAATGGATACTTAGATTACATACTTAGACGGTTAATGAGTGGGTTTACCAGCTTCAACCATTACAAACGCTGCATTTAACATGCGCCCGAGATGGTTTAGAAGTGGTAGGTAAATGATGTAGCATTAAGCGGGGGGAAACAGAAATAACATGAAATGGAGAATAAAAATAGGGGAAGTGGGGAAGTGGTTGAGAGAAACCATCCTGAGAGTCAAAGTTTTGTGAAATTAATGGTCTCTCTAGATCTCATTTTAATGCTGTTCTGTAGATATGATTTATGCAGATCAGCCATGGTACTTGCAAGGCCAGGCCGCATACTTCCCCATCCTCCGCTCAGATAAAATACCAGTAAAGACACAACACAGTTGAATGGGATCTACTGTAATCAGGCCAAAACTTTATTGACTACAGATGAGGAGGTTTGGCATAGGCAATGGGTAACCATTTATTTCCGGCCCACCTGCCTGAAATGATGTCAGTGGCAACCAGACAGAGGGGAATCCTATGACTTACATCAAATAGGGGGATCCCTGCTGGGATTGCTGCCTCTAGTAGACGTGAGGCCCAAGCCCCCATCTGGAAATATGGCCAGAAGCAATTCCTTTGTGGGTCCCTTTAATGGGATAACTTGTTTCTGGAGGGGAAAGTGAGGGTACAACCCCCCCTCCAGACAAGACTAAGGTTACCCAATGCTTAAACCACCAAAGTTGTGGTGATTGCTATGAGGCAGGCAAAAACCCCAAGTCACAGCCAATTTGCAAATTCCTACCCGACCCCCAAAACATGGCGAACACCGCAGCCACGGCAAGGCCAATGCAAAATTAAAGGAGTGGGTGGGTTGATCTGATGAAGAAGAGCTGGGTGCCAGAGGCTGACACAGGCTGTTTAAATTCCCCAGGAGTGGACCTGAGGGGAGCCTGATTGTTCCCTCAAGCACACCCCCAAAGAGTCCTGCCCCCCGTGCCAGCCTGCCATTGGCCAATTCGACAGGCTGGCGTGGAGCTAGATTTCAAGCTGGGAGTGCATGTTGAAGCTCATGCTCCAGCAAAACAGGCCCCCGGCATCCCAGCTCTGCATTGTCCGGGGGGCGGGGAGGATGTACTAGCTGTCCCACAAAGACGCCACATTCCAAAAAGGGGGAAGCGGACTCAATGCCGGATTTACGCATAAGCTAAACAAGCTATAGCTTAGGGATCCTCTCTCTTGGGGAGCCCCCCAAAAAATAAAGGAAAAAAAACCTGGATGTACATTTCCAAAATATAAGATAAAAAACAAATAAAATAAAACCTACATGCAGCAACAGTGTTTTGTGTTGTGTAGGATCCTATGATGTAAATAATGGGCCCCACCTCCTAGCCTGCTCCCTAAATTATCACTGGTTTGCTCATATAGGGTGCCTACATTCTGCATGTCCAAATGGCTTTAGATACCTATTAGGTCCATAAATTACCATATAGCATATATTCAACACAAAAATACAGCGACAATTTGTTGTTGAAAGTGAGATGAGCACCGCAACCCGAGAGTTGGTCACGACTGGACCTAATGCTCAGGGGTCCCTTTACCGTTACTATGGACAGTTGGGCTACATGATCCATGATCTTGGGCTCCATGATCACCTCAGATGGTGACAGCAGTAACAAAATTAAAAGAAGCCTGCTTCTTGGGAGAAAAGCAATGACAAACCTAGACAGCATCTTAAAAAGCAGAGACATCACCTTGCTGACAAAGGTCCATATAGTTAAGGGCTATGGTTTTGCCAGTAGTGATGTATGGAAGTGAGAGCTGGACCATAAAGAAGGCTGATCGCTGAAGAATTGATGCTTTTGAATTATGGTGCTGGAGGAGACTCTTGAGAGTCCCATGGACTGCAAGAAGATCAAACGTATCCATTCTGAAGGAAATCAGCCCTGAGTGCTCATTGGAAGGACAGATCGTGAAGCTGAGGCTACAATACTTTGGCCACCTCATGAGAAGAGAAGACTCCCTGGGAAAGACCCTGATGTTGGGAAAGATTTGGGCACAAGGAGAAGGGGATGACAGAGGAGGAGATGGTTGGACAGTGTTCTCGAAGCTACCAGCATGAGTCTGACCAAACTGCGGGAGGCAGTGGAAGACAGGAGTGCCTGGCGTGCTCTGGTCCATGGGGTCACGAAGAGTCGGACACGACTAAATGACTAAACAACAACATGGACAGCTGGACATATAAAGGGCCCCACTACCTTCAGTAGCTTAGGGCTTCATCAAACCTAAATCTGGCCCTGAGAGGACTTTTCCCAGGTAATATAATCCAATAAATATAACATTTCTACCAATTCCTATTGTTAAGTTCATTCAGGGCATGGAGCACTGCTCTTTCTAGATGGGCTTTTGGTCTGATCCATCTGTTCTCTCTCTCTCTCTCTCTCTCTCTCTCTCTCTCTCTCTCACACACACACACACACACACACACGACTTGAAACCTGAATAAAGGTTTTATTCAGAAGCATTATCTGAGGAAGAAAAAGCATGTGAGGAAATCAAATGACTGATGGAGATGCCTATATTGAAATGTTGACATTTATTCTTGTCTGAAGACAGCAGATTTTAATAGGATAAACATGTCAAACAATTGACGCTAACTATACTGGCAAGCAGTTAGTATGGCTAACTGTCCGGGGAAAACAGACCTAGGTTTTTTTTACGTTTAATTGTAAAATGGCCAGGAGAGAGCAGAAGCCATTCCTCGCCTTCACCTAATAAACGAAAACCTCTAAAAGGGTTACATAAAACAAAAGAAAATATCCGTTAACTGATAAAAACCAGCCATTAAAAACAAGTTGGCATAACATATGTCAAAATGTAAATAAAACCAGCAGTTTTAAAGCAAATGTGCACAGTACAAATGCACTTAAAAAAAGAGCCAAAGTTGTTTTGTACATTGACAGGCCAACATAAAGAAAAGGTTGTTGACTCAATGGTGCTCATCAAATCTCAGGTGCTGACTTTTCTTGGTGAATCATTGATCCCCTTTCCTCTTGTCTCTATCATCCTTCCCTCAGAGCCCTCTAGCCTTTTCCAGAATAATACACGCTACATGGAATTGAGTCTGAAGGCACTTCAACTGCAGAATGCAGTGCCTGGTATGTTCAGTTTACAAAACCACCAGGGCCTAGATGTTTATATTGGTGCAACCACCTCCCTAGCTGGTTTACTGCTTCTATTTTTTTATTTATTTTATTTTCATATTGCTCGTCTTAGTCTTTTTGCATGCTTGCTTGCTTTGCATGTGTGGTCTCCTCATCCGGAAATTATTTCTGAAAGAAGCCTTCTTGCCTCTAGTTTCCTTGAGTCTGCATGTTAACCATGCCAGCATCCTCTTGGCCTTGGTGGTCCCTTCCCTGATCTGCTGCATACATTCTGGCTGAGCTTCTATTATTACAAGCATTCTGGAGAGTTTTGACCATGTTCTCTTTCCCCACCAAAAAACAACCCCCTCAGTGAAGTCTTGTCACAAACAATCCAGGCATCAGATCAGGAGAAGGGCTATGTCTCAGTGGCAGAGCATCTCCTTTGAATGTAGAAGGTCCCAGGTTCGATCCCAGGTCAGGCTGGGTATTTGCCCTGCCTGAAACCATAGAGAGCTTGTCAATGTAGACAACGGATCAATTATTGTGTTGGGAATAAGGCAGCTTCCTATGTTCCAGTTTGTGGGGCGAGAGACAGAGATGGGTGTAGAAAAATGGTTCGACAGGCAAGCAAGCAAACAAAATGCAGAAAACAAGGGAGAAAGATGGGACAGATGTAGGAAGACATTAATGCCAGCTCAGGTATTGTTCACTCCTTTGTGTATTAACAGGAGACGATAGAGTGGAGTCGTGCCAAGTAGCCTTGCCTCCATTCTCCTGGGCAATTCTGAAATATCCTAAAAGGGCAATGCAACCAGGTGTGCAATGTCTCCTCCCTCCCTACAGATGTTTGCACTGTACACATGGTCATCAGAGGCTGAGCTGCACAATGTGACTCTGCTCCTTGCTCCTGTGTTGCTGTTTAAGGTACCCAAGAATGCCCAGAGCCCAAAGTTCAGGTAGATATATCTACAGCATGCGTCAGAGGCTTCAGGGGCAATGGAGAGAAAGAGAGATTCTTCCACAAGCCACTGATTAAATAGCTACGGCCTGAGAGGGAAAGGGCTGTGTGCATGAGAATTTGCCAGCCGAAACCTTGTCTGCAGGCTCAAGTCTGTGTTTTAGCACATTAGCAATGGCCAAATAATCCTGAGGTGCTGAATGAAGTGCCTCCACGAATCAATTATTTGCACCACTAAAGACGTGGAAGTAGTTTGAAAATGCTTTCCTATCAGGTGGTATTATGTTTATATTGCATATGCCACCCTAAATGTACAGGGTTACACTGAATGTAGTGCCAAGGACTACATTTCTGCTTGCCTGATGGAATGATTGGGCCCTGCCACCCCCACTGGGTTTTTTGTGGGGAGGGTTTCCCCTGACCCTCAGGAACAGATTTAGGGAGGTCACAGGAGTGCACAAGGGGAGGAGAGGGGGGAAGTCCCATTGTAGTAGTGGGCATCACTGCACTGGTTTCTGCTAGTGCAACAGGTTTAATCGAATACACCTAATGATGATGATGATGATGATGATGATGATGATTTATACCCAACCCATCTGGCTGGGTTTCTGGGTGGCTTCCAGCAAAATATTAAAATATAATAATTCATCAAATATTAAAAGCTTCCCTAAACAGGGCTGCCTTCAGGTGTCTTCTGGTGGGAGGACATTCCACACAGCGGGCGCCACTACCGAGAAGGCCCTCTGCCTGGTTCCCTGTAACTTTGCTTCTTGCAGTGAGGGAACTGCCAGAAGGCCCTCGGGACTAGACCTTAGCGTCCGGGCAGAACGATGGGGGTGGAGTTGCTCCTTCAGGTATACTGGGCCGAGGCCATTTAGGGCTTTAAAGGTCAGCACCAACACTTTGAATTGTGCTCAGCAACATGCTGGGAGCCAATGTAGGTCTTTCAAGACGGGTGTTATGTGGTCTCAGTGGCCCCTTCCAGTCACCAGTCTAGCTGCCGCATTTTGGATTAGTTGTAGTTTCTGGGTCACGTTCAAAGGTAGCCCCATGTAGAGCGCATTTACACAGCAGTAAATATAAATTGTGTGAGAGTTTCACATGTACTGGAAGCTTGAAAACAGGGGGCAAAGTATTGTCTGAGCTGATTTTAACAGCTCCCAGGAAACTGGTGAGATCTGAATGGTTGAAAGAGACTCCATAGGTCACCTTGTCCAAACTTTATTGAAAGTATGATCAAACTAGAAGGTAAGGGAACCTTATCCCTGACTTTTCCTTGGAGATTTACACCAGGGGTATGGAAGTTCAAGAAGTTGTTGGACTGCTACTGCCATCAGGGCTCACCCACACTTTGCTTTTCCCGCACCTGCAGACCCTCCAAATGTCCCTATTTTCCAGGGACAGTCCTGGATTTACAGAAGCCAACCCAGTTTCTGATTTGATCCCGGAATGTCCAGAGTAGCTGGGGTAACCCAGTCAGATGGGTGGGGTATAAATAGAATATTATTTATTTATTTATTTACTTACTTACTTACTTACTACTACTACTAGTACTACTACTACTAGATAGGAGGCCCCTATCTTTATTAAAGAGCTGGAGGAGGGTATGCACCTAGGAAGAATGGGTCTGAACAATTTTCTAGGCATGGGTCTGAGTGGTTTTTCCATTTTCCACACTACTTTCCCCAGGAAAACCTGCTCTTTACTGCTGAATCAGAGCAAACATCAAAATCCACAGGAAACCTGATTGACGTTTGCTCTGATTCAGCGGTAAAGAGTAGGTTTATTCAGGGGGAAGCGGCGGGAGAAGCAGAAGTGTGGACAAGGTACAACAGGAGCAGCACTTCAGCAGAATCTTGAGGGTCACAGGTCCCCCCTCCACTCCTGATTTATGCAACCCTTAATAATCTGTTCTATTGAAAAACTAACTAGGCAATGACAGTGCTATTTCTTAATGCAGTTCCTAAAGAGGGAAGGGCATTTGGGGAGGCTTTGCTCCACTAGAAATGTTTCCTGAAACACAGTTTTTCTTCCCTCTCACCTGTTGTATAGCTATAAAACTGCTAGCACATTTGCAAAGCTAAGCAAGATCCCATAGGGTTTCAAACTGGAAGGGGAGCCATATGTTGAGATTCCTGCATTGCAGGGGGTTGGACTAGATGGCTCACGAGATCCCTCCCAAGTCTACAGTTCTACGATTCTATGCTTCATACTGTATCTCACACAGCTCCTCTCCTGCCTGTACAGTGGTACCTCGGGTTAAGTACTTAATTAGTTCCGGAGGTCCGTTCTTAACCTGAAACTGTTCTTAACCTGAAGCACCACTTTAGCTAATGGGGCCTCCCTCTGCTGCCGCGCCGCCAGAGCACGATTTCTGTTCTCATCCTGAAGCAAAGTTCTTAACCTGAAGCACTATTTCTGCGTTAGCGGAGTCTGTAACCTGAAGCGTATGTAACCTGAAGCGTATGTAACCTGAGGTACCACTGTACTAGCAAAATGTTCTTGCAGAGGTGGGGGGGGGACAATATTATGTAAGGCTAGGGAAAGTTCCTGGAATCAGATGCAGATGAGCGGAAGAAAACAGCAATAACCTTCTCTCGTTGGGGTGCAGGCCAATCCTCTAGCTGTTTCATTGGCTGCAATCCTCTTTTCAAAAGTGAGAAAAAATGTGAGTCATTCTGAGCGGCTGCTGTCACTGCAGCTTTGGTGGGAACAGCCTTCTTTGATCCTCAAAAGCATGAATTCCTCTGTTAGCTGTAACCTTTTCCTGGTTGCCGGCCAATCTCTGCACTGAGAGAATAGGACATGAAAGCGCCATCTGGGGGAACCTACAGGCCTCTGCAGAAAATGAAACCAAGGCCAGTTATTATGACAGAATATGAGATTCATCAGCTTCTTCAGTGGGTGGGAAGCTTGAGTTCTCAGTTTAGATTAAAAATCAACCCATGCAAAGCAGATTCTGTAGCGTGCATGGTGTAACTGAGTGCATTCAGAAGCTATGTACCTCATCACAGATCTCTGCTGGAGGCCCTCACAAAGATGTTTAATTGGTAAATATTTGGGAAACAAAGATTTTTGCATCGAGGAGCAAATTTCAGCTGAGCTAAATTAGTGTGTCTTGAATGTTATGAAATCACACTTCTTTCTTCCCTATGTTCTGATCTTCTCTGTGGGGGTCTGCACACAAATGTAAGCGTTACCACTGTTACCAGTCTCAGCATCTTAAAAAAAAATATATCCTCGTGAAAATTGATTGATATTTTAGCATGGGTTTCCCAAATATTCCTTTTTTTTTTTGTTTGGAGAGGCAACCTTCCCTAATAGTATGCAATTTTCCTATGCTGGTTTCACAAAAAATATGCATTTTATGCATAATTACTTTAAACATTACTTGACTTGAGAAATGCTTTACATTTTGGAGAAGTGTGATTTTTTTAAAGGAAGTTTGTGTTTCAGTTTGTGCATTGTATTGGAAAGAGTGAATTTGGTAGTTTTGCCTTTAAATGTGACCTGAATAATAATAATAATAAAACTTCTCCCATCCCCAATGGTGGCTGCCATTTTGTTTTTCCCATTTTTGTTTTTGTTTTTGTTTTGTTTTTTGCGTGTGAAGTACAGCATTGCTCTGGGACTTTATTTTGATGGAAGAACTGGTGGCCTCCTCAAAGATCATGCTCACCTGTGGGGTGCAATATTTTTCTTGGGTGTCATTCCTTTCCCCAAATGCCCTGGAATGACACTACACTGGGGCATTCTGGGGGGAAATAAATGTCGGCTGCCAGGAGTGACTACCAGTGTCTGCTCTACCAGTTTCCTTTTGTATCCAATGCTTCTTTCTTAACCATAAATTAGAGGGGAATGAACCAAGTGGGCCCCACTTTATTCTGCTATTCATTGCAAAATAAATGTACATCCCTATATCTCTACTTACAGGAAGCTTTACCTTAAATGCATATAACAAACACACCCTGGGACATTGTTCATCCAACTGCATGTTCATAATTGCCTGCTGAAATCATGGAAGTATTTATACCACAAATGTTCTGGAGTGGTGTAGTGCTTCACATTTCTTGTGCTATTGGGCAAAAGTGCCGCTCCAGAGAGAATGACATTGCCGAACAACTAATGCAGCAGAATGATGGGTGCTTGGTCCAGTATGAACCCATGACTAATGCACGGTGGCACTGTGGTCTAAACCACTGAGCCTCTTGAGCTTCCTGATCAGAAGGCTGGCAGTTTGAATCCACTCAATGGGGTGAGCTCCTGGTACTCTGTTGCAGCTCCTGCCAATCTAGCAGTTCAAAAGCACACCAGTGCAAGTAGATAAATAGGTACCACTGTGGTGGGAAGGTAAACAGCGTTTCCTTGCGCTCTGGTTTCCATCAAGGTGTTCCATTGTGCCAGAAGCGGTTTAGTCATGCTGGCCACGTGACCCGGAAAGCTGTCTGTAGACAAACACCAGCTCCCTCTGCCTGAAAGCGAGATAAGTGCCGCAATCCCATAGTCGCCTTTGACTGGCGTCAACC